GCGTTTGCTAGAAAAAAAGGTTATATTCATCCTAAAGTTAATTACTTTCTATATTTCTTTAAAGAAAGTTGATAAGAAAGGAGCGCGTTGAAATTAATGAGTGGTAAAGATTCTTGAATAAAACCACGAATGGCAAAATCGTGACTTGCAAAACAGCAAATGTCGAAATCGTGATATATGCATTAGGATTGGGATTCGTAATAAATTTGACGGACAATTGGTCGATGTTTAAAGGACATCTGTGTAGAGAATACCGTGCAAGTGCTTATGGTACATTAAATACAATGGTTTAGAATGCTCCATTTACATCTATACGCATTTTCGTCATTGGCTGCTTTTATACTTGCTACTTTCATACTTGCTACTTGCAAGTGCTTATGGTACACTAAATACAATGGTTCAGAATGCTCCATTTACATCTATACGCATTTTCGTCATTAGCTGTTTTTATACTGCTCGCGTTTTTTTTTTTTTTTTTTTGCTGCTTTAGAAAATTAAAGAGAAATTTTTAAAAAAAATATTTAAAAAAAGCATAGTTGTTTAAAGGTACAAAGATGCATGACCAATAACATAAAATGTTGTATAAAAATCGAATGTTATTTCTTCGCTTTTAAATTTTGTTTAAAATGTCTTAAACACATTATAAAATAATTTTAATTTAATGAACTGATTAGAAATATTTTTCCTTGTTTATTATTTTTATTAGCGTAATATGAACGCTGCTTTTCTTTTAACTGAATTTTTCTTTGCGATTTTTGCTTTTATTTTCAAATAAATTATCCTTTTCCCCTTTTTTTTAAAAATTGCATTAAAGTTATTGCTCAGAGGTTAATTATTGATAGAAGGTCAGTGATAATTTGTTTTTATAATTGCATATTTATTATTCTGTGAATAAAAAAATTGAAAAACTGTAAAAGTGACAATCGGAATTCATTTGCAGAATAGAAATTTTTTTAGATTGGATAACAGTAAAATGAAAACAAATATAATTTATAATTCTTAGTTGTTTCTGACCCAAATAAAATGGGAAAAGTTTTTATTCCCTTTTTAAATAACTCACGATTAAAATTAAATGGCAGAAAATTCTTAAACCTCAACCTCTTTGTCATGCCGCCTACACGTTGGAGGGAATAAACTTTTTCCTACCTTATTAAAACATCAGTTAATATTTTTCTAAAACTCCAAAAACTGGACAATAATAAAAAAGTATTGTTTTCAAGTGACTTTCAGCGCGAAGGAATTATTAGCCACATACGACAACCCTTTATAACTAATTATTCATAAAATAAGTAACAACGCCAAAAAGTTTATATCTTTTGTCACGTTTAGGCGAATAATCCTTTTAGGTAAAACTGTTCTTTATGATTTCAAGAAAACTTGAGCATGTGCCGACATCATACAGAAATGAAAAGAAAAAAAATTATGGTAAGGCGCTCCTCAAGACAAAGGTTTTCTTCCGTCATGGCTAGGTTGTCTTGGAATTTATGACTCTCATTTTCGGTTTTTCAGGTTTACCACTCCTTTTCTCTTGAGTAAGCAGATGGTGAAATTTGTCGCAGAACATTTTCAGTTTTTTTGTCATTTTTATGTCGTTTGGGGCGAACGAGTTAGGACCCTTTTCATATCATAACGAACCGTAAAAGGCGTTACTTTGTTATATCGTGCTTGTTTTAAACAAGGAATAGTTTTTTTTTTCTTTTTCTTTCTAGGATTAATTGGAGAGTGTTACAGGAACCGACAATTCAAATTTTGGAAAGATTAGTACTTGGAAAAGGAGTGATAATGTTCTAGATGAAATGTATAGTAATTTTTACAATGCACGTTTTGACGAATGAAAAATGTGGAATTTCGTAACCATATATTTTTTTTTATTCCTTAATAAATCTCTTTCATTTTATAACCGTCATTGAATAGCCAACCCAATTTTCAGTTAAATACTACCAATGTTCAAATCCGTAACCTTGTAATTTTGAACCCAATCCGTAAGACGAAGGAACTATGTCAATTATTGGGCGAAATTTGACATCGAGAAGGACTTTTTTATTGGAGCTAACCCGCATTTGTGTTACAAGTAGAGGAAAACAACGAAAACCACTTTCGGTTAGCCTGACGGTAAGGAGACTCTAACCCATCATCCGCATACCACTGAGGATATATTACGTCAGCACTACGGTCAATGCGAGCTGGGTGTGGAATTCGAATCAACCAGACATCGCTGGGACTCAAACCCGGGTCACCTGATTGGTAGGCGAGTGCTCTATCCCCTGAGCCACCGTAGCTCTTATAAAAATATTAAATTTTAGAAATAGAGTTGTAGACATTTTTTTTCCGCACGATTGTAACAGCTAGTTGTTGGCAAAGGGGAATGTTGGTTGAGCGGACGCTATACCGTGAGAGAAACCCTTCATGACAAATACAAATTCTCTTTCATCTCTATAAGTGATTTAACATTTAAAGTGTAAGTAATTTAAGATTTAAGGTATAGATAAAAGGAGTTTAGGTAAACAAAAAAATTGAAAATGCTGAAGAAAAGGTTTTCAAAATGCAAACAAAGTATATATAGCAGGGTTAATCAAGATTTACGAAGTGGAAAACTAATATGAAATAATTTATTTATATCTTGATAATTTGAAAAAAAAAATCATCGCTGATAACTTCACAGTTTATTCTATGTTCACCTTTTTTCCATACTTTAAATTTTAAATAACTTCTGTAAATAAAAGAAAATTTCCCTTCAAGCGTTTCTCTGAGGTATAACTTCCCCTTTATGCGTTACAATTTTGAGACAACTTTACACAAGACACTACAGTTTTACAGATAATTTATTTTCATCCATTTATTGTTATCACCATGGAAATTTATCTTTAAAAAAAGAAGACAGTCTCTTGACGTTTTTTTCTTACTTACTTACTCGAAACTAAAAATTGATATGCAAAGGGTTGTTGTTTAAGGATAGCCGTTTATTAACCTGTCATTTATTAGCAACGCCTGTAAATTTTTAACAGTGGTTCATGACCGCTAGATCAAATTTTGTTCAACTTTTGACAGTGACCTCTATATTAATTTTGAAAGTGATTCGAATGGCTAATGCGAAGGAAAGTCACAGTCTTGTAATTGGTCAGGTTCTTTACGCCGAAATAAAGTTATAATAAAGGATTAGTGGCGGAGAATTCCTCCTAGCAGAATGTATGCGAACGTCCCACTACAGCAATTTAGATCGAAGGGCAGATACTGGTACTAATTACACCTTCTTCGCACCACGCTCACAAAATGTTAAACTGCGTGCGGGTTTTTCAGCCTCTTGGAAGCAGCTAGAGATATTACATTTGAGTAAATTCTGAGTTACTAAGACACGATCATGGAAAACAAAAATCCAATCAGACCACAGTCTTGTGAAAATGAAAACTATTTCTGTTATAATTTTTCAATATTCAAAAAGTTATTTTAGAGTTCATAAAATTGAGTAAAAATTTAGTAATTTATTTTCATTAAAGTAAAAAAATCTTAAATGTAAAAAAAAATTAAAAGATAATAAATTTTAAATACATTAAATTTTAAAGCAAATATTTTCTTCAAAATAGAAATAGTTAAGAATTGAAGGTTTGCTTTGAGTTTAGGGTACATTCAAATTATAGATTTTTAAAAATTTTCCTTGGCGAAAGCGTTTTGAAGAACTTTTTTAACTTCTGGCCAATCTTAAAAATATATTCATTTTGGAAGGACAATATTCAATATTTTTTTTAAGTGAACTCAATGGAAAAGTTTAGTGGAAAAGTATTCTTACTGAATTTAGAAAGACCCAGTTAGAAAATATAATAACTGCAGAAAGATATTTAAAAAAAACATTATACTATTGCAAAGTATGTTATTTAAAAATGTGACCGAAAAAATATTGAGTTTTATGAATGCAGGTAGGCGTGGAGCCAAACTTTGGAACAAACTTTCTTCTAATAAAAGCTGTGATTTTTGTATGAAAATTTTAAAACTTTTTGAAAAATTAATTTAAAAATTGCTATATTTTAAGTTTTACGAAGTGAGCTGCATTATAAGAGAATTTTTCTTCGTATCATTAACCATTTTGCACAGGCAATAAAAGGAATATGCTATCAAAACTATTGATGTATTGTGAAATTTTCCTTACTTCATTTGAGTAGAATTATTTTTCATAAAGATTTTTTTTTAACGTTTCTCAATTCATAACTCTGATTTCTGAAATGAAATCAATTTCAGTTTTACAAAACAATCGCGTTGCTATCATGTTATTGTGTACAATTTTCTTTCTTTTTTTAAATAATTAAAGCATTATTTAACTTAAACTAAAAGTTTAATTTTCAAAAATATCCATCGGGTTTAAGAAGAAAAATTGGATCGATATTTAAGATTTAAGAAGAAAGAAAAACGTGCGAATTTTTATTAAATAAAAAAAAAGAAAAGGATTTTCTCCTAAAGTTTTGAAAAAGGAATTCAGAAAAATGTGTTTCAAGTTCAGCAAATTAGTCACCAAGCTTCTCTGCATAATATCTTATTTAGTTCGTGATGACCTTTATTGTAATTGGTGTAAAATCAAAACGGTTTTATTGAAAGAAATGATTTGACAAGAAAGAAAAAAAAAAAAATCCGAAAAGCAGAAAGATTTTGATGGAGAAAAACTAAGGATAAAGATAATGTGTTCATGCTATTTTTTCTTTCTTATTTTTGTTACTTATGTACCATCTAATATATTTTAGTTTTTTCGTTTATTTATGCATTTATTCCCATTATTTAAAGAAAAAATCATTATTATTATTTTTTTGTATTTATTTATTATTTTTTTAACTTTTTTAAATTTCTTTTTATTCTTTAATTATTATTTCATTATTATTTTATTATTATTCATCATTGTTTTTTTTTTTAAATCTATAAACTTAAAAATTCTTTCTTCTCCTTTTTCTTTCCTTTTCTTTTTTTCTTTCTTTTTATTATTATTTTGTAAACACAACTAACTTTATTTGTTTTTACAGGGCAATGTAAAGTAACATGTCAAAATTTCGTCAAAAAGAACATCCAGGCTAGCGAGGAATAATCTTTCCTTGTAAGTATCTCATGTAACGTATACTCATGTATCTGTATATTACAGACAATATTATTTAAAATAATATTATTGACCACACATATTTTTGACCACATTACTTAATCATCAATTGTAGCAAATGAATACTATTTTTAACATCTAGAAAAATTAGCTTTTCTCTTAAAACTTATCTTATGCATCTATTAAAAAATATATTAATCGCTGATTTATGTCAATGAATTAAAGAAATCTAACTAAGAAAGTATTCGCATGCTAAGTGCGGATTTCGTATAGTATATTACCATAGTATTCCTATGGAAATTTTATAACATACTTTAAGGTAAATCAGAGTAACTCATAAAATATAAGAGTCTGCTAAAATCTATTAATATGAATTTTCTTTTAAAACGAGTGACAATATAATCAAACATAGAACATAAATTATATGTTGAGAAATAGAGCATAAATTATGCCCTACTAAAATTAACTATGCTGTTTCTTAAATTATAAATTCAGATCATGATTCATTAAGACAAACTTTTATCGACTAAATCAAAGATACTCATTGTCAGTGAATATAAAATTTACCAAATTTAGTTAATAAAATTATTTTAAAATAAGTAACTGAATAATCAAATCCGAGTCATAAGAACATTTAGAAAATATTTTTTGAATCTAAAAAAAATAATAATAAAAATAAATGAAGAAAAGAAGCTTACGCTGTATTATATTGTATGAGGAAAACAAACAATGAAAAGGTGCTTGTCTATACCTTTTGACTTGGCGTGGTGTTTAACGGGAATTTGAAAAGTGAAAAATATACCCTTTCATTGAATTATAATATCTATAATAAAACTAAAATTTAAAAAAAATATTTTTATTTTTAAAGGCAAAATGCGAAAATTTTTTTAAAATTCAAAATAGCACTCTATGCAGTTTGAAAAGAATTGTGAGAATCCCAGCGACTGCAGGTCGGTATGAATTTCTCATCCGGCTTGCACCGACCTCAGCGCTGACGTGAAATACCGTCAGTTGTAGACAGATCATAGGTTAGATTCCCCTTGCCGTCAGGCTAACCGTGGGAGGTAGGCTCTCGTGGCCTTCCTCTCCATGTAACGCAAAAGCGGGTTAGTTCCATCAAAAAGTCCTCCACGAAGGCAAATTTTTCCCAATACTTAATCCAAGAGTTCTCTTGTCTTCTGGACCGGGCTCAAAATTTATATATATATATATATATAATCAAAATAGAGAAAACATGGAAACAATTACAGAACAATGAGAAAAGGGGAAAAAAAGAAAAATAATAATAAAAATAATAAGAAACCGGAAAAAAAATATCTGAAAAAAAGGGGAAAAAATAATAAAAATCCGGAAAATAAAAGATATAATCTTTTCATCAGCTCACACGATTATATCCGCAAAAAGGAGTGTTTTCTAATATTGTATCAATATAGCCAAAGCAAAATACATCAATACAATACAATAGTATCAACAATCAATTCAATACAATACTTTCTCTTTATATATATTATTCAGAATTTCATTTTCAAATGAAATAAGAAAATACAATGCTCTTTTCTTTTAGGCTTTGCGAACAGAATGAAGGAGAAATCCAAAAATGCTGCTCGCTCTCGCCGAGAGAAAGAAAACGCTGAGTTTTTAGAACTGGCTAAACTCCTTCCACTTCCTCCCGCCATTACTAGCCAACTGGACAAAGCATCCATCATCCGTCTCACAACATCCTACCTAAGGATGAGGGAAGTCTTTCCTAAAGGTAAGCTTTTCAATCAATGCAATGTTTTTCATTAGCAGATAATTCCTGTCAGAAAAAACCCAACGCTTTCATTAATTGCTATGTTTTATTCAGAAGATGCAAGGATTCCATCAATTGCTATCATGAATTACATCAACGTTTTTATAAATTGCTATGTTTCATTCAGAAGATCCAAATTTTCCATCAATCGCTGTCTCAATCAAGCAAACTTAATGCTTTCTTCAATTACAATGTTTTAATTAGGAAAACTCCATGTTTCTATCAATGGCCATATTTCAGTTAGAAATGATTTTTCAGCGTATTAATTTAAATAAAAAAACATTATTATGATTTTAAATTTTAAAACACAAAACAATTATTTTATTTATTTTTATATTAATTATTTTTTAAAGTTTGCTTAATAGTCAGCAATATTTTGAATGTCATAAAAAATACTTTTAAGACAATGGAGCATCATTCAGCATTGTTTGAGCACATGCTGTTCATTTCGTTTAAAAAAAAAAGGAAAGAAAAAAAAAAGATATAATCTGAGTTAATAACAATGCAGGAAAAATGTGTTATTACAATATATTGATAAATTTTAATAACAATGCAGGAAAAATGCGTCATTACAATATACTGATAAATTTTATTAACAATGCAGGAAAAATGTGTTATTACAATATACTGATAAATTTTGATCTAAAAATAAAATGCTTCATTTTTTAAGATTGTAACTAAGTATTACCCGTTAGAATCACCTTGATTTTAAGTAGTTTGCTATAAAATATGCAAAAATTCACATTTCCATTGCTTATTTTAATTCAACTGCTTTGTTTAATAAGTTTAAATGGATGCTTATGTATTTTTATACACAAACAATTTTTGATTTTTATATACGAATATACTACAAACGATTTTTATATTACAAACGATTTTCATATTACGAACGATTTTTATATATTACAAACGATTTTTATATCGCAAACACTTTTTATATTACAAATGATTTTTATATTCAAACGATTTTCATACACAAACGATTTTAAACACAATCGATATCGTCAATGAATGTCATTGTTGTGAATGAATGGATATCGTTAATGTCAAATGGAAAATATCAACTGGATTCTTCATCAAGATTAAAAAACCCTCCCATTCTTATAATTCTTTTTGGTAATCTATGAATAATTCGATCTTAAAACCATTATTGACTATCAGTTTAATTTACTTCCACATAGAATTGTTGAATTTTTGCAAGAAAATTTGTTGAAATATTTTACGAAGTCAAAATTTAATCACAAACGTGCTTTCATCTACCTTTATTTAAAATGAAGAGTGTTTATTATCATTATTATTATTAAAATTTCTTCAGGTCATAATTTTTGATTAAAGAACACGCAAAAATATTATTACACATTCTCAAAGGAGTAAACGGCAGATATTTTTTAATTTAGATAATATTGACGCTGCTTATTCTTTTAATATAAATTCAATGTCTATTTGTATCCATTAAGCATAAATCTATAACTGGGAGGGGAAACTGAATTCATTCTAGTAAGAATAGAAGAAATTATAAAAATTTAACGAAGAAAGTATAATAAGCGCACTGCATCTGTAAAAGTTCAGTCATAAATTTATTGCAAATTTATTTAGTCATTAATCATTAATTATCAACTGTGATAAGTAACTAAACTGATTAGCTATTCTAAATACAAATTAAACACACTTTTTAAACAGTGGCATAGTTTGGGGAACAAAACCCCCTCCAAAATTAAGCATTACTTGATTAATGAATTATAGTATGGTATTTAGATATAAAAAAAAGTTTTCGTTATTCATTTTTTTATAATTCAAACGTTTAATATACACGGGTTCAAGAAATTAAGAGAATTTGCAGACTTGGTCGATTATCTCTAGAACTACTAGACTGATTTTAATGAAATTTTATCTGTACATGCATTGATACAATACAAAACAAATAACCATTCAACAATTGTAATACACACTCATGATCGCGCTCGTTGAAGTCGAAAGGTATGAAATTACCACAGGACACTTCAGGCCAATTGACACAGGAAATAATGAACTGCCTTATTTCAAGTATGAAATCACTCTGCAGGAGGAGACCATACCCCCTATTAACCCATTTTTTGTTTTGTTTATTCCGCAACCGCTGTTTCATACTTTCCAACTTCAACGAATGTTTCGCATAATTATACAACTATTGAATGTTTTTTTTTTTGTTTTGTATTGTATCAATATATGTACAAATCAAATTTCATTAAAATCGGATCAGTAGTTCTAGAGATAATCGACCACGTATGCAAATTCTCGTAATTTCTTAAACCAGTCTCTCTCTCTCTCTCTCTCTCTGTCTCTCTCTCTAATGTAAGTG